TTTTTGGTCTTTGGTGCTTTCCCTCATATGAATTAGATGTCAAAGGTAGTTTTTGTGCCGAAGTAGCACCCTGATCAACGTTTGGTTGACATTAAGGGACTATATCTAGAGCTCACGTAGCCATTGTGTACATTGAGTACACCGGTTTAATGTTTTTATGTTTCTACTACACGAGGGCGCTGTGAGGCAAGCATGATTGACAGAAGGCATATTCTCGACCAATCAAATCAAAGAACAAGCCCAGAAGGTGGGTGCTCCACGTGCCACGGCGCCAGAGTGTCTCGTTCATTTCAAAAGGTACATATAGTGGCTACATATGAATTTAGTGAAGTATGGAAGTGAAACAAATTTGATTTGAAGTGAAATATCTGAAGTATTTTTTTTAAAGTTTGCTTCTAATACGCCTTTTACAATAGGGTGACAGCAGACGAATTGTTTAATCGTTAGCTCCACTTAGTATATTAGAAAAAATGAATACAAATAAATGTAATTGGCTTAAACCTCAGAAATTTTAAGACAATTTTTAAAACTTAATTTCTCTTTAAAGAAAATCTAATCTCATAGTTGCCATTTCACTTTTTTCTTCTGAATTTGGATAAAAAAGTCATAAACAATGGCAGCGACGGATATGCTGCTATTCTCGCTATTCTCCATTTTTTATTTCTTTTGTTATTTTTTCTTTAATTCCTTTATTTATTAATATCTTTATTTATCTTTAAATTTTATTTTAGATCAGTATAATAAACTGCGGATATTTGGCCACTTGGAAGACCAGGTTGAATCTTTCCGACAGGATCGGGATTCATACTGTCGCCTATAACAGAGTCTGTCTGCCGCGTTCGTTGTCAATCTGAAGTTCACGAATATGTCACCTTTCTCAATTTATCTCCGAGCTTAATGACTGTGCTGCATTGTTTCCCGTAACTAATACTTAAAACTGTCTGTCGCTGTGTACATGATTTAATGGGGTCGAAAGTAGTGCAATCTATTCCTGCCACAAGTAGCTGCCACAGGTAGTATTTACAAGATTGCCGACGCGATACTGTTTACAAGCGACAGGCATCACCTGTATGCAAACTAGTTGCATACAAACGTACAATGGTGATGAGTTTGCAGATGAACACGCTATCTTCATGTTCTGCCAATTTTAAAGTAGTTTCTTTAATTAATCCATTTAGTTACATCAGAAAAAATCAGCGACTACGTTTCTGATGATGCAATTCCATGCAGGTGTCCCATATGAGGAAAGGCTACGCAATAGCAGAAAAAAGGATTCATTACAGATGTTCAAATTGGGTGCAAATTACCTCTGCAGAAACTGTGTATTTAAATTACCATTAGATACACGTACACAATATCGTTACACACCTTCTGAAGATATATGTCTGAACTAATCAAGAGAAAACCGAAGGACGGCTAGTCTGTATTGAGGTGATATGTTCACTTTCACTTCACTGAAATGTCCATAATCTTCTTTGCCAGTAACGCGCACGCACGCTTTGAGTCACGTCATCCATCGCACCCATCTACTGGTTATTAAAAAAGAAAGAAAAAAAAAAAAAAAAAAAACAATATCTGTTTGTCTCTGATGTAGCTGTAGTAATTTACATACAGGTATGAATGCACACGATTACCTGTTTTTATTTATATGTCTAAAAAAAGTAGAATGTCAATAACAAAAGGTCCTTTGAATTTACATGTAGAAATAGTATTACAGTGTGCATATGGCAGTTGCTGAATTAACCATTAAAAACTAGTTTGAGGTGAAATATTTGAAAAAATTGCCTTTGCTTCCAAAAAGTAAAGGTTTAATCACCATTTTAAGTGTAAAGGATCAAGCTAAGAGATTTGTTAAGAAGAATTGAAAAAAGGTTGTAAGCATTTTTGCTATATTGTCTCTTTGGTCCCTATTTGTTGAAGAAGAGTTACCATATATATATATATATATATATATATAGAGAGAGAGAGAGAGAGAGAGAGAGAGAGAGAGAGATGGATGTCAGTTGCTAGGTGACTATATCTACATATATGGTTTAAAATGGCAGTACTTTTGGCTCTCAGTACTGATTGAGATAAATTGAAAGGACAAATGAGTTACTTTAAAAAATTTACTGTACTTAATTTACAAGTACTTATGCCACTGTGGATCTACAGGTGTGTGTGTAATTATTCGTATTTTTCCTATTTTTTCTGACAATTTATTGATAATTTCCACAGGTAATAATTGGTGATTTATTGATTTAAATCAAATGTAAGCCACAAAGATTTCAAGACACCAAGTTATTAACAAGCATAACAGACACGTTTAACATTTGGTCAACTGCTATTGCTGCCTATGACTTTATTAAATAGTTTTGTATAAATTTTGTGATAATGAATTTATTAAATAATATTACTTTTTTTCAAAATATAGTGCTGATTTAAAATAAACTTTTTACAAAATAAAAACAAATCACAGATTGCAATTTACACATAGAATTTATTTAACCAAAATTTATGAATCAATACAAGTTAAATCCTTTAACCACTAAAAAAATGGTAAGTAAAATAATCATAATAAAATGGACGGATGAACACAAAATGGACATTTCAGAAGCAGCTACAGCATGCAGTCAGTTACCCCCAGGGGTGCAGTGTTGTTTATTATTTGTCCTCGTTGCCATAACAACCTGTTTCACACCTGTTCCTTCAAAAGAATATATGGAAAGCAGGGTCTATTAATTGAACTAAAAATAGAACTTCTGCTACCTGTAGCTGTCCTGGCATTATGACAGTGAAAAAAGGTGAACATCTGGAAAATATAACTACTCTCATTGCATAAAGTCTGCAACATATTTCATATGCACTTTTTTTTTCTGGTAACCAGTAAGTGAATGAACAGGAAACCACTGTAGATCAACTGTAGTTCAAATAGCATGTGGTAAAACCAAACCCTTACCAATGACTTATCACAGATCAATTAAAAATTTGTTTATTTGTGCAAAGATGCTTGCTAGCATTTCTTAGGCTCGATGCGGTCACGAAAAAACATTACTCGAAGTAATTATTCCAATGGATTTTTTTTTTCTTTTTGATTTCTTTTGCCCTCAAAAATCCTTTTTGGTTTTTTCTGTTCTGAATTATGTGTTGTCCATTTTTTTATCCCTGTAATCCCAGCTTAGCTAAGGCAAGAACATCCTCATTTCTACGAATATCTTCAAACATATATGTGCTGCGGTCAACCATCTCACGTAGCAAGTTGTAAGTCTGAAAAAAATGTAAGTTTAGGACTGAGATTTAACAACAATGGTGCAAAAACTTAACTTTCTCATTTGATGCTTTTCTGTTTCATTGATTGGATTTGGTGTTTATTTCTTTAATGCAGAAAGATTCATTATACTAGAAAACTGCATCACTTTAAAACATTCATTCATTTTTCTTTCTGTTGCTGTTATCCATTAAATCTCACGTATTTCTATGAAATACCAAGAATTGTTTTAATCACCAAGTCTGATGCAATTTGGAATGGGTACAGAGTGTACTGTATATCATTGTTTAGAGGTATTTCTAGCCTGCAGCATAAAATCACTACAGCATAAAGTCAACAGACTGAGTGCCCAGTGCCTCTGCAAAACTGTGTAGCCACTGATCATTAATTTTAAATGCCCAGTCCTTTCATTTCAACTTTTTAAAATCATTATTTTTTAATCATTAATTCTTATGATTATGCAACACTTTATTTGCTGAAAAAATACCTGAATGAAATTCAATATTTTCTTGACTCACGTGAAAACAATAAAGTGATGAACATATTCACCTGCACAGATAATTTTTCTTTGTATTTTCTATTCAATACTGGATCAACATCTGGTGCTGGGGTAAAGGCACTATTGCCCGTGTGAGGGGTAGCTGTTGCAGCTCTTTCTCCCACCATGTCCTTCTGTGAAGAGGGTGTGGGAGCTTGTCGGCTGGGTGGCTTCTTAGGACTGGCTGTCAGTTTTCCTCCCCCGCGATCCTTGTCTTTGCCACTCTGTACATAGATTTGTATTTTTTTTACTTTTAAGTGGAATTAATTTATATAAGTGAATAAACCACATTTAAAACTATGTCATGTCTTAAAATTTAATCTTGTGTTTGAAATGTGGCTTCTAGATGACAAAGAGATCTCTCGATCAATGGTCCTTTTCATGTAGCCAAAATTGCCTATGTGAATAAAGATCATGTAATATACAGCAAAGTATATATATATATATATATAACATAACATAACATAA